TGGTACCCCCCTGGCAAAGTTTCATATTCAGAGACACTTCAGGCAGCTTTTCTGATGGAGGTTTTCCAACATCACAGCTCTGATTGGCTGTGATGTGAGGTAGCTTGTTAATGATTGGCTTCATTTTGAGACAGCTTGTTGGAGATTGTTTGACAGGCATGAGATTCTGGTCCGTCTCTCGGTTTAAGGTGTCCAAAGTATCTTATTACAAACATCTATCTATGCATGATAAGCCAGAGCTGAAAGGCAGAAGCGTTGAGTAGACTTGGGCTGTGCTTGAGTTGTGCTTTTCACAACTTTATTCTTTTATTTGTGGCATTATCATTTGTGTCGGCAGATTATTACTTTTACAGAGAACTGCAACCTTTTGTTCTGTATGAGAAAATTCTCTTCCCAACTTAGTGTATCCATACCATGAAAATTAATCTTGTTCTTGATTAGGTCTGCTTTGGTCAGTTTTAAAAAACTAAATATCACTCAATTTATCATTCTCAGACTACAAATGTAATGGTTAAAGTTTACAGCAGCACTAGACCTGGCATAGGTTGTCTTCAGTGCAAGCTGTTTCTCTCTCTCTCTCTCTCTCTCTCTCTCTCTCTCTCTCTCTCTCTCTCTCTCTCTCTCTCTCTCTCTCTCTCTCTCTCTCTCTCTCTCTCTCTCTCTCTCTCTCTCTCTCTCTCTTCTTTTCTTTTCTTTTCTTTTCTTTTCTTTTCTTTTTCTTTCATTTATTATAATTTATTTATTTATTTATTATTATTATTATTTTTTAGGGCCAGGGATATGAGTGGATTTGCTTATAACAGGCATATTAAGATATAAAAGTAGGTGGAAAAGTTTAATCTTTACAATATGGACACACTAATCCAGGCAGGAGTTATTGTATTACACTGAATTTTGTGTTATCCCTAGGTTGTAAATGTTACAAAGAATTCATTTCAATGAAATATTGTAAAAGAATGCAAACACAAGTAGCACTGTTAACAGACTTTGCTTTTGAAATGAGTTATGATTATTGTGACAACAGAACTATCAAGATAGACAGTGCATGTTTAATGTATCAGTGTAACATATGGATGTAACATGTATTTCTTTGTATTTCTGACATAGCTCTCCATGCGTCATTTTTCATGATTCTTCTTTGTTGATTTCCATGTATGATTTTGGTTCTGTAGATTAAGATTAATATTAATGGATGTAATTTTTCATTTCCCAAACGAGTAGGTTGTTTAACCTGCAATTTTCTGTCACTTATGTCACTTCTTGGGCAGCCTGACTGGTTATGCTCACTTTACTGCTTTATGCATTATTTTCTGCCAGTCTGTGGACTATATACGTTATATCTTCAAGCTCTTGAAAGCAGTGGATGATAAGAACAGTCTTTGATGATGTAACTGCATCCTAGGAAAATAAACTTGTTCTCAGGGATTTCTTGGCAATAAATTGCTCATAAAACCATATAGCCTTTAATACAATTCAGATATAACATTAACCCATTGGCACTGGGTGACAGAGATGTCTCATTGTGAAAAAAATTTGACACAGAGTGGCTGGTGGGAAAGTCTTGTCATAGATAAAATTTGCTGAGATCCAGGGACATTGTTCTTGAGTGGTGGACAATGGGGACATCTGGCCATGATTTCACAAATTTTTTTGAGGGATAACACATTGGGCATTATTTCCACTGGTTAATGAGGGTGCAGTGTACCATCTGTGGGCTATGCCTGGAAGAGCACTAACTCAAGGGAGAATGCTATACCTATGTGCTTGAACCTATTCTTGCCTGCCCATCCTGGCAGCACATTGTGTGTTATGGAAAATTAAATAATATGAATATATAATTTTTTTTTACAAATAACACAGTATTACTTATTGTTACCATTATTGCACAGAGTGTAGACTAGATGGAGTCTGCTCATTGAAAACACTCTATTACCGTCTTGATACAGCATAACAAGTAACAAATTTAGACTTCAGAAAAGAGGAGGCAAGGACTCTTGATATTGCCCATGAGTTTCAGCGTGGGCTGGGTTAAACAAGCCTTAGAGTTGATAGAATTGTTAATTCATCTGCAACTTATCTCTCAAATTGATAAAAATTATTTGATATCTGATACTTCTTTCTGCTTTCACCTTTTCCAGAAACTGCCAAACATTAGAGTGACTCATTTAAATTTTTAAATGATATGCATTTGTTTGGGAATAGGTAACTGCTTAGAGTAGAAAACAACACATTGGCCCATATGCTTTGTGTTCCAGCAAAGGCCAACAAACATCACCCTTCATTTGATCAATGAGAAAGAGCCTGGACTGGTTCTGTCATGTCTTAAATTAGTACTGAATATAAGTAAAACCTGTTCATCTATTTATCTATCTATATCTGTCTACCTATCTATCTATCTATTTCTATTTATCTGTTTATATATGTATGTATGTGCATGTATATATACTATTCACACTCTCCTGCCAAACCTGATAAAGCGTGCAAAAACAAATTTTAAAAGTACTCTACTTGTAAATAAGTCCTAATTTTCTGATTGGCTGGCTGTTCTCTGAGGAGGGGCTCATTGGCCAGTGACGTGGCTGGTGCCTGGTAGTTAGCCTTGGTTCATGACTTGCTCGTATGACCATGCAATGTGTACAGGGGATAACCGGGATGAAGATGCTCATTAGTTGTCTGTCTGCCAGGCTATAATCATGGCCTTTTAGTGCAAGGGGATTTAGATATATGTTAGCTATGGCTTATATTTAATGAAACTATGATAGGTAGATGGTAGAACTTCAAAGAAATCAGTTAGCATATGTATAGTTACATTCATCCAAATTATGACTCACTCAAATTATAAGTTGACTGTTAATGAAATTGATGAAATTCCTTAAGACTAAATTAATTGTAGAGACTAATTTCATTGGTATTAATGGTAATTGCTAGAGTTGTGGGACAATGCTAATTTGTTTGCCAAAATTTACACACATTTTTTCTGCCTTTCTGTCTGTCTGTTGATTACCTTCTCTCTCTCTCTCTCTCTCTCTCTCTCTCTCTCTCTCTCTCTCTCTCTCTCTCTCTCTCTCTCTCTCTCTCTCTCTCTCTCTCTCTCTCTCTCTCTCTCTCTCTCCCCCTCTCCCCTCCCTCTCTCCCTCTCTCTCCCCCTCTCTCCCTCTCTCTCTTTCCCCCTCCCCCTCCCTTCCCCTTGAGCAAAGGATGATAAGACATTCTGATGTAAAGTGATTGATATGCAATTAGAAATATGGATCTTCTTCATTTTAATTACACCAATAGGGTGGGTGTGCTTGCAAGGAAATGATACCGATTTTCAGGTAGTGAACTCTTTTACTGAGCATATAGTAATGTCCTTTTTTTCCCCAGATCTGTAGGTGCCTGTGTCCAAGATGTCTGCTGACGTGGCAGAGGAGCTGGTTTTTCACTGTACGGATGACAGATTCTTTGTAGAACCTGTCAACTCCAAGCAGCTGCTGGTCATAGACAGAGTTAGCCATGAGATCACTCTGGAGGAGAATAGTGGACAGATTCCCTTCAGCGCTTCTCGGAAGAATATATATGGCTTAGTGGGGGTGATCCACCTGATAGCAGGCCCGTACCTGATCTTGATCACGAAGAGGATTAAAGTAGGAACCTTGAACAAGCAGACAATATGGCGGTTGGCAGACACAGAGATAGTCCCCTATGCCAGGTCAATGGTGTCCTTAACAGCAGAACAGAAATTGTACAATGATAAATATCTATCCATGTTACAGCAAGTTCTTTCCACCCCATACTTCTATTTCTCTTACACTTATGATTTGACCCATACTTTACAGCGCCTGTATTATACTGCTGAAGATTTCCTGCAGATGGCTTTGCATGAGAGAGCTGATGTGAGATTTGTGTGGAATCAGCATCTGTTGAGAGATCTTTGTGTACAACCAGAAATGAGTGCTTTTTGCCTCCCTCTTGTTCATGGTTTTATATCTATCAAGCCAAGTAGCATTAATGGTGAGTGGTTTACCTGGGCCATAATATCACGCAGGAGTGTTTATAGAGCAGGGACTCGCATGTGGACAAGGGGCATAGACCAGGAAGGTGCTGTGGCCAATTATGTAGAAACGGAACAGATAATAGAGTTCCGAGATTTCAGATCATCCTTTGTCCAGACGCGAGGCTCCATCCCTCTTTACTGGTCCCAGGAGCCAAACCTGAGATACAAACCTGCTCCACGCATAGGAAATGCCAATCATGAAGAGGCATTTAGTCGGCACTTTGAGTCTCAGGTCCTGTGCTATGGGAAGCAGGTGGCTGTGAATCTGATTGACCAGAAGGGTGTGGAAGGGAAGCTGCATGAAGCCTTTAAGCACCTCATAGAGACGAGTTCCAGCCAGATGATTAGGGACAACGTCAGGTATGAATATTTTGACTTCCACCACGAGTGCCGCAAAATGCGCTGGGATAGGTTGAGTATACTGATGGATCGATTAGCACCAGACCTTGATTCAATGGGCTACTTTCTCTTCCGTGATGGTGTTGTGCTACTCGAACAGGAGGGAGTATTCCGCACCAACTGCATTGATTGTCTAGACAGAACGAATGTTGTGCAGTCCATGCTAGCAAGAAAACAACTGCAGTCAGTATTGACAAGGATGGCCATTCTCATTGAAAAGCAGAAAATTGAGGATCAATTTTCCTTCGAGAGCATGTTCAAAAACGTGTGGGCAGATAATGCGGACATAGTAAGTACTGAATATTCAGGAACGGGAGCCTTAAAAACCGACTTCACCCGCACGGGGAAGCGAACCCACATGGGCATGATGAGAGACCTGTGGAACAGCAGCGTGCGTTACATCAAGAACAACTTCTTTGATGGAGACCGCCAAGACGCGCTAGACATGTTCCTCGGCAAGTACCAGGTGGAGGCCAACGAGGGAGCCACGAGACTCTGCCCCCTCAACAAGAACCGTGACACCCGACTGCTCCTCCTGCCCAGCGCGTTCTTCTTCTCCCTGCTGATGGTGTTCGCCTGCATTCTGCTGCCCTCCGAGTATTCCTCCTTCACGCTCCTCTCACTCCTCTTCTGGTTTGGGATGATGGTGGTGGCCTTCCTAGCCACGCTCATGCAGGGCCGACTCCTTGTCAACTCCCCGCGGCTCTGCCTCTCAACCCTCAATCATCTCACGACCCCTCCTAGAATTGGTTGATCTCCTCCTTAGCGTACACAGACCGTGTAGATTAATATATGCCATTGTATGTGTCTTCATTTTATGTTTTTTCTTTCAACTTTCTAGCCTGTCAGTTTTGATTTGGGTATTTGATGCCGTGAACTTTTTTTTTCTTTATATAGAATTTAAGTGTCTAAGGCTGTTTAAGGTGTCTGATTTTTTTTTTTTTATTAATATAAATGTAATAATATAGAGTTTTGCACACAATGTAGATATGAAACTCAATATTTATATGTATATATATAATACACACATCACCATCCAAGCATTGCCATTTTTATACGGTTTGCACTGCAGTATTAACTTTAGATTTTATTTTATTACAGATTAACTTTGTAAGTTATATATGTGAAATTTTTTGTTACATGTCTTTGCATAAGCATTTACAGTGCTTGTTCACAGTTAGATTTGCTACCACATAAAGGTACAAAATGAAACTTCTGAAATCTGTCACAGAAACAACAAAGAAATTTAAATGTACGAAATGCATGTACAAAATAGGAAGTAAAAACAGACAAGAAGAAATACACGTAGAGAAGAGAAGATTACTCCATGGACAGTAATCTCTTCCGACACATAAAGGCAAATTTTTTTTATGACTTTGATTGCTGGTAATGATTTAGATGCTACCAAACCTGAGGGCTGTGGGTGACAGGCTAGAATATTGTGATGTTTATTCCTTAGATAATGGCAATGACTAGACAGGTCCACTATTCTGTGGCTAGGTGATCGCAAGAAAACACGCAATGTACATAAGGTGTTTGGAGGTTGCATAGTGAATCGCACTTATGATTCTCAACTAACGGCTAAATTGGTATGTTGGAAAAATTGGAGATCAAGCCTGGAATTCTTATGAAAAGAAGTTTTATGTGTATATATGTACATTGTGTTTTTTTTCTGTCAATATAGGCTTTGTTTCTATTGAGCAGCTTCAAGTGCTGGGAGAATTTAGATGCAACATAGCTAATATACCAATGATAAAGAGATATTGAGAATGTGTGTCTTTTATTTAAGAAAAAAATCTTTATTTGGAAAGGTGTGTACCTTCGTTTAGGCAGTAAGTCCTGAACTGATTTTAGCCTAATTTGATTTTCTCTATCTCCACTACCATATTATTCAGTTATTATGTGTGTTTTAAGTGTCTCTATACTCTGTACTTCTGAAATTTCTAGTTTGAATAAAAATTACCGCTCTCTTCCAAATTGGTAATAAATACAGTACCAGTTTACCCGAAAATGTATCGCAGTCTTTAGCTTCAGTAATTGCATAGCTGAAGATGTCCAATTTAGCAAATACAACATGTGCAAGAACACCAAATTTCTTTTTCCATGCAGTATTTACCCTCCCAGTTGTCCTAATACTAGATATTGTTAAATACATTCCATAGTTTTGAAATGAAAATAAGCAGAAGTGAATATTGAAACTTTATTATAATATGCTTTTGTGTATATTTACTTTGTATGTATGACCATAGAGTTGATATTCGTGTTGTGAAGTAACCCATCACATTATTATTATATATATATATATATTTTCATTTATTATTATTATTTTTTTATTTATTTATTTATTTATTTATTTTTTTGAAAGTAAATAGTGGGTACATATTTTAAAAGCAAGTGATGAAAGGTAGATTGATAAACATGTAGACCAGATTTTTAAAAACATGTCATTATAGAGACATTAAATTTAAGAGAAAAAAAATAAGGTATTGAGGCTATCCCAACAGTAATTTAACATCGAATACAATACACTATGGCAGTGCATGTGTACCATAATGATAGGGCCTGAATATATGTACTGATATTGATTACAAAACATGCTGTATGATTTTGCATTTTGTATTTATTTATTTATTTTATTAGAACTGAAGCCCCGATAGCTTTCATAAATGGAAAATAGCCATTTAGGTTGACAAAAGAATAACAACTCTTTGAAATCTCTATTTATTAGAAATCTTGATGATAGGGATTTACTTGTAAGTATAGAATTCCAAATCATTGTGCTAAAGCATCAAGAATAATCAGCATCAGTTCTCATGAATGACTAAAGTTTATTTTTGACATTCTCAGGTAATGAAAAGAAAAGAAGAGAAAAATAAAAGGAATTGGTGAATTTGATAATGCATTGATCTCAGTAACCCTTGTCGGTATAATGGTTAACCAGACATACTTACCCAGTGTACTAACAATGCATAACCTTCCATTAACTGTTAGGAATGGTATAGTTCGGGTATCTTGTTTCATGTACTATATTTATGACTGATAAATCAATAAAGGATACTGGCTGCTTA